GAAGATATGACATTGATGGTATAGTGGCTGAAGATGTCTTCAGAACCGGAGGTAGGGGTCGTCCGCAGAAACAGTACAAGGTTCATTTTAGTTATCAAGAACCGGAAGACGACCGCTGGTTTACAAGATCTGAACTTCTAGAGACAGCTCCCGATATAGTCCGGGCCTACGAGAGACAACAGCGAGGTAAAGGTCCTGCCTTGGATTGAAAATTTCTCGGAGGACCTCGAATCTAGGCCGGTGGGAGTGAAACGGTATTCACCAGTTCAAAGTAGTTGATGCAGATCCCAGGGTTCGATCCCTAGTTCCCCAACTTACCTGTGTACAATACCTGTGTCAACTCGAAGAATTGAACCTGCGACCTGTAGAACCGCCAGTGGTAAGTAGGTCTGTCGTAGGTCTATAGGTAGCCAGGATTCGATCTGTAGACCTGTAGATTAGAAGTCTAGCTGCAGTCCTTCTAGAAGGTCGGCAAGTGGTCAAGTGGTGCAGGCAAGTGGCCAAGTGGTGTGACTAAAGCAAGCCCACGTTGTAGACGAGGACAAGTGGCGAGGTCAAACAGCAGGACCCCAGTGCAACTGCACTGTGTCGTAGGGTCGTCGCCATGCAGTCAAGGGAGAGTCTAGAAAGTACCAGTCCGGTCCAGCAAGTACCACGGGGGGGACTGTGTGCAGCTTGTGCGAGGAGGTCTGCAGTGTGCCCAAAGACGAAGTGGGCAGAGAAGTGTAGTGTAGCGATAGGGTAGTGGCAGCTAGCGCTGCCATAGCCATAGCCTAGTGTGTGTGTGTTGTGTATGAACATTGAGTGTCGCGTGTGGGACATCCAGGGTGATCTCGAGTGTGAACAGTGAGTTGTATGGGCGCACAGTCGCCATAGCCAGTTGGAAGAGAACTCATATCTGGTTACGATATCTTTGAGTACTGTGTGGGCGCATGTCGCCAGTTCGCTGTATCGCTGTTTGCAAGCATGATGAAGTGTGAATAAGTCGAGTATGATTGCAGAATTGTCTGAGTTGCAGCTCAACAGTACACTCTCAAAACGAGGATAGAGGGGGATTCGTTGCACTCCGACAATCCCGAATACGCCAGACAGTTCTACTGGCCCGACTCATACTCCGACAGAGCAGAACAGCCAAGCAAGCCTAAGAGAGGTAGGAAAAATTCAGAGAAAAAGGAGGAGGACGCCCTGACGGCGGTAGAGACAAGCGCACAAACCCAGCCAGGCTCAGCTGCAGACCTGCGAAGGAGAAAAACTATATTGGAAGCCCAAGTGACGTCCCTCACAACCAAAAACGAGGAGTTCGCAGCCAAGCACACTTCTCTGCAGAAGATAGCGGATGAAAGGACAGACGCCATTGATGCAGCAGCAAGGGTGGATGCCAGGAAGTCGAGCCACAAACGAGTCCTCATCCCATGCCGGTGGAATGTGGCACACAACGAGTGGGAGGCAGCTGTACACACAACGGGCGCCTTAGTTACAGTGGGGGACCAATCCCTGCTCGATGGTTCGCTGGCTGCACAGTTTAAGGATGCCCTGACACCACTCTTTACCATCGGAGGGGAGCAAGGTAACATCGAAAAATGGACGGATGCGGACGGTCAGCACCACACGGTTGACCTTCGCCCAGTGCTCGTCAGAGTATCAGACAAGATGTTACTGAAGGAGGACTTGGAATGGATTCCATGGCAGGTAGTGGAATCAAGTCCGTATGGATTGCTGGGGCACGGAATGGCACCGGAGAGGGCAGCCCTGGCAGCAGCGCTGGTGACCAGGCACAAAGTTTTTTTGGCCAACGAGGGAGGATGGGTCAAGAAAATTAACACATTGATGGAGAAGAAGGATGCAGTCTATTTGAAGCGTTAGATTGACAATGGAGATACAAAACTGTAGAACAAGAACATTAGAGGGTTATGAACAATCAGGCGGTCCTACTGTCTCAAGACGCCATGCAGCCAACACCAGACTTGCGGATCATCTCATGGAATATCAATGGTCTGGCTACCATCCTTCAAAATCAACAAAAATGGGGTAACTTCACAAATGCAATAGGATGGTACGGAAGAAGACCGCCTRAYATACTCTGTCTACAAGRAACGCATCTGACTGAATCAACGGTACACAAACAAGTACAAAAGGAAATACTCAATCGGCTTCGTTGGGTCCACTTAGCTCTATGGGCACCAGCCCCAACGGTCGGATCAACAGGCACAGTCATTCTCGTACGAGCTAAGACAGCGGTTCCACAAGACATAGTCATAGAGGAGGAACACATAGACCACACAGGAGGGAGATGGGCAAGGCTGGACTTCTACTATCCACCTTCTCTCGCTTTACCGCCCCAACGCTCGTCAGCACAGAGCAGAATTCATAACTTCCCTCTTACCACAATGTACCACTCCAGCGCACCTGCTACTGGTGGGCGACTGGAACGCCACGCAGGATCCGGCTATGGACAGGATGTCAGGAGGAACAGTGGGTTTGGACGGAATGGCGTGGGAAGATTCGGCTCCAATACACAATATAATGACGGAACAACAGCTAATGGATCCCTACCGAACCCTCCAACCCACTAGCAAAGCCTTCACCTATCTCAAGCGCAACCGCAGCCAACACATCTCAGCATCACGCATTGATTTCTTCCTCATATCGGAAAGTCTAAGGGGAGCAGTGCAGTCAGCAGGTATTGGAGATTTGCCGTACTCGTCAGGACTGGACCACAAGTTCATCTATTTGCACCTTGTTCTCGAAGCAACGGTGAAGAGAGGTCCCGGTTTCTTCAAAGTCAACAACTCACTCCTTGATACACACACCATGAAGCAGCACATCCTGGAGGTCTGCAAAGACTATGGCACACGTGCCCCATCCTTCCCACAACTGGTGGGGAGACTCTCCAGGGCCACAGCCAAGGCCTCCCGCATCTTGGCAGCCAGAAGATCAGCAAAGGAGAAAGAACTGGAAGCAGTACTGAGATTGTCCGAGAGGAATCTCGTGGCCCAGCCAGGATCGACACAGCTGGAGAACGCTTTGGACGCGGCCAGAATGAGAATGGTAGAGTGGAAGAAATGGAAAGAGGACGGCCTACGCCTTCGAGCACGAGTCAAGGAGCTGGAACAGGGCGAGAAGATGACAAAATACTTCTTCCAAAAAATAAAATCCAACTCAAGGAATAAACTTATAGATCAGCTGCGCACAGGCGACACTATCACTTCGGATCCGAGCCGTATGTTATCAGTGGCGGCAGATTTCTACAAAGACCTATACACCTCCAGGGAGAATCAATTGCCACAAGCAGCAGTGAGAGAAGCCAGACAGAAGTTCCTTAACCATCTGGATAGGACGTTATCACAAGAACAGAGTGAAGAGCTAGACAAACCCATATCCCAAGAGGAAGTAAGAGAAGCGTTACACTCGCTACAACCGGGCAAGACACCAGGGCGTGACGGTCTCTCCAAGGAATTGTGGCAAACTTTCTGGCCAATCTTCCAGCAGGAGTACATGGCCTTCCTCAGCAAAGCAGAGACAGAAGAAGGTTTAGGAAAATACATAAGTACTGGGGTGGTCACCTTGCTCTACAAAAAAGGCGATCCGGCAGACATCAACAACTACAGGCTGATCACACTACTGACGGTCGTGTATAAAGTTCTAGCCAAACTCTTGGCCAATCGTCTCAGCAAGATCACAAACCGGTGTTTCCACATTGACCAAACCGGTTTCATCCCAGGAAGATTCATCCTGGACAACGTAATGACGCTGGCGGAGTCAACACGCTACATTAAAGACAAGAGATTGAACACCGCCATCCTATTCTTCGAATTCGAAAAGGCCTACGACCAAGTCAACTGGAACTTCCAACAACAATGCATGGAACGAATGGGGGTAGGACCTGTCTTTCGAAAATGGATCAGAGTGTTGTATAACGACGCCCATAGTCAGGTACAAGTAAACGACTTTCTTTCAACTCACGCTCGGTTCGACAGGGAGACCCACTTGCGGCACCGCTGTTTCTCTTCACAATGGAAGCCATAGCCTCTTTCTTGCGTAAGGACCCATTCATCGATAGATTGATAGCAGAACCGACTCCTCCTAAGCACGCGGTAACTCTGCCATCGACACTGCTTTTCGTCGATGACCTCACAACCATTATCACAGCCTCAGAAGCATCTTTTCAGGGACTCATTAGAGCCATGCAAGCGTTCCAGCTAGCCTCAAAAATGAAAGTGAACTGGCACAAGACCACTGGTTGGTGATTGGCGGATTGCCCACAACCCCCACAAACAGCCTCCCCCGAGGGATTTGAGTGGCAAAACTCGAAAACGCCCCTGCGCTTCCTAGGGATCAAGCTCACAGATGCAGGCCCCGATCAGGTTATGGCTCCAGAGATTCTGACGAAGATGCTACGCAAAATGGACACATGGACCAGTGTTTACACGTCGGTCTTCGGAAGGGCACTAGTACTCAATGCTTCCATCTTCTCTATGCTATGGTATGCAGCCACCATCTGGACACCAGAAGCTAACATGGTCACATCTCTCAAACGGAGATCAACGGCTTACCTATGGACGGGGAACCCAACGGCACAGCGCTTCATACCTAAGGTGGCCTGGGTGCACCTCATTCAACCAAAGAATAAAGGAGGATTGGGAATCCTCGACCCGGCCACCCAAATCAAGGCACTTCAGACAAAGTGGGTTGTCAAACTATTGCTGCAGCAGCGCCTGCCCTGGAGCACACTGGCCTTGCACAGAATCAGACAACTGCCCAAAGCCATCACACCGCCAAACATGCAAGGAGTCTTCTGGCTGATGGCTAAGTCCTGGTCGGCCCGCACCAATCCTCCACAGATGGAAGAACAACAGCAAGGGCCACTACCGATTCGGTCGGAATATTGGATGTACCTCATAAAAATCTGGCGAGAGATCTTCCCGGCAAAGGTCCGCAGCCCAGTCAACAGGGAGGAAGTTCTACGACAGCCACTTTTCTGCAATCACTAGCTAAAAGACCCCTCTGATAAACCTTGGACCCTAACAACACAGGATGCTCGATGGTTATCGTGGCTGGAACAAGGCGTTTGGCAACTCGAACACATTTGGAATCACCAAAGCAATCGCTGGAAGACAGCCGCAGAGCTCAGAGATTCCCTCAAGGGATGTCATAACCTAGAGGCTAACCTGCAGGCGATGTTACAATCCATACTGCAGGACTGGAAGACGCTCCTACAAGCCCCCCCATCTTGGGCAGCAGGAGAGTGGGCCACGTGGGAATCAGAACACACCCCCTCAGAGGCATTGGTCTATGTCAAGTCGACAAGACCGGAGGGAGATTGGGGATTATGGTCCATACACGACATCGAACACCTGAGGTCCAACCTTAGCAGGGTCTCGAAATCATTCCGGGCCCGAGTCACGGCGAGGCCCCGACTCCTCAGGAAAATCAGAGTGATCGAGGATGACGATTACAGAGCTTATCAACCAAGAATACCCTTGCAGGATCTGGAGTTTGACCCAGTGGAATGGGCATGGAAGACAAAATCTACGCCGATGGGGACACAGAAGCACACCAACATCCTGGACTATTCCACCAGCTTTGGCTACAAACTCAGACGCAGATCGGTGAACACGGATATTGTCCTAGTCCAACCCTGGGAGAAGCACACCTCGGGCTGCCTGGGCAACACCGAAAAGTTCAATTGGCAGATACCTCTTGCCATTAGAAATACCCGCATAAGAAGTATGCAATGGCTCATCTATTATAACACTCTGCCAGTTAACACATGGCTCAGCAGGAGAAGGGCAGAAACCGCTAGAAGGGATTTCGACGACAGTTGCGCGGTCTGCGAGGAAGGAACACTAGAAGATATGTAGCACTGCCTACTAAACTGTCCAAATGCAAAACGGATCTGGAACAAAACACGGGAGTTCTAGCTGGCAACGGTTGGAGCTCTATTACCAGACAACAGGCTCACACTCTTAACGGGCATGGAACAACCAAGTCACAATGAGCCCTGGCAGCGGACCCTCTTCCGTAAACTTCGCCCTTTTACTCTGTGGATCATATGGAAGTCACGATGCAAGCAGACGATAGATGGCCAAGAAACATCGACCCAAGAGGCTTGGGAGCATGTTTTACAACTTTTACGACAGGAATATCAAGCGGATTGGAACCGGGCAGTCAGGAGTATCAAAGAAGATCCACCAAGAAAGCAGGCAACCATAGAGAAATTTGTCAAACACAGGCTTGAAACGGGTAAACTCGGCACCGTGGAAGGAGTCCTCCAAGACGAGTATGGAAGAGACGAGAAGAGTGCTCACAGAGAGATACAGCAACAGATCTCATTTCGCAGGAATCAGTGAGATCACAGAGCAGTAGGCTAGACATTCATGCAGCTTAATGGCCCCAGAAAGGAGTCATAGCGTGTGTCAATAGACATGCGGCTAAAGATAAAGAGGCATTAGGGCTTAGGGGTTATTCGACTATTGGAGGTCGGGCGCACAGGCGAAGGGTTTAGGGTTTAGGGTTTAGGGTTTATAATAGATCGTCCAAAGGGGCAGGAAGGTGCATGGGGAAGATACAGGCCAGCAAGATTATGGGAAGAGCTCTTTCTAGGGACAATGGTGCTATCTGGCAGACCTGGACCCCAGGCCTGAGAGGAAAGAGTGGGATAGGGCAAGCTGACAGTCAATCCTCCACCGCGGTGGAGCAATCAATGCTGTTCAGGGATCCTTCGGCCTGACGGAAGGAAGCGTGTGTAAGTTTTCTTGATGTATTGGTTATTTTGACTTGCCGGTGGAATAGGAACCGGACTGACGCTCCCCAGAATAGAAGGAGCTAGGACCATAAAAAAAAAAAAAAAAAAAAAAAAAGTATGGCCCACTTTCCCCAAAGGCGAAGAGCACAAGATGCTGGGTCTTTCCCAAACATGAAGAACGCATGAACCTGATTCTTTTCCGAACATGAAAACACAAGAAGCTGGACATGAGGTGAAGCTACCCTAGATAGTAGATACTGATTTTAGGTCCACAAGGAAAGCAGTTCAAAAAACCCAAAAACCATAACAAGGGCTTGGGACGTTGAACATCACTACCTGGGCTGCTGGGTCAGGGCAACAGTTTCCAACAGACTTCTGCAGACAGCAATGCAACAAAAGGAACAACCACCAGAGGAACGATACTGTCACTCAGATATCACCATGGGCATCTCAATAGGTCGACTCACCACGAAAAGAATGTAGGTTTTCAGCATATCTATGCTCCATGTAGCATATGTACGATCCAAATAACTGATAATAGGTGGCTGGAAAAACATGGCAGTAAAACACAAGACAAAGGGACCATGATGTCTCCATTCTTACTCTAGACTCCTTTTATTTGTTCCAGGGGGCTTCGGCTCCGGCTCTAGCACAGTCCTCGACCCATAGTAGGTCCTTGAGCAGTGTCACATCGTTCAAGAGCTCAAAGGTACCTCTTTGGCAACAATAATGTCAGTCAACCTACCTCCTGAGCTGTGACAGTCATGGAGCACTGCACATCCACTTCTCCACTTCTTTTCCCTCCCTTTTCTTCCGTTCCCTTTCCCATCTCTGCTCCATCTCCCTTTCTTCGTTTGTTCATTCGTTTGTTTTTTTGTTTGTTTTTTTGTTTGTTTTTTTGTTTGTTTTTTTGTTTGTTTTTTTGTTTTTTTGTTTGTTCGTTTGTTTGTTTGTTTGTTTGTTTGTTTGTTTGTTTGTTTGTTCGTTTGTTTGTTTGTTTGTTTGTTTGTTTGTTTGTTTGTTTGTTCGTTCCTTCCTTCCTCCCTCCCTCCCTT